TATTTCCGTTTCTTTTAACCGTAATTTATCATCCTGGTCAGGTCAGGTGCCTGTGTGTTTGTAAATTCTTAACATTCAATCTTTTTATAAGCACTAGCAAGAGAAAGGAAACTATTTTTCAAATGGAATAATGATTTTTATAGACCAATATATTTTCACAGTAGAACTAAGTTCTTGACCGCCACTTCTCTCTCAGCTGGACTTTTGTATTTGGTATTTGAGTTTCATTCTCAGGGTGCACTGTTAAGTGGTCTACAACTCTCATGGTGCTGGTCACTGTGCAGCATTTGATTAAACCTAAAATTACTTGAGTGGATGAAGGATGAATTCCCCAAAGAAAAGTAAGTAAACTTTCACTGGCATGTTTTTTTTTTCTAGCTTGACAATTTCTAAACACATGTTCTTACCATTGGAATTCAAGAGATACTGTGGGGAACATTGACATTGTTAACTAAAACACATTCTATAATGTCTGGGGTTGACTCCTCAACGAAATAGACTGAATAAGTGACTTTGTAAAAGCATACAGTAAAGTAACTTTCAGAACAGTAACCTATTGTACACCGCCAAGTGCAAATTTTATATTTAAAATAATTTTGATTAGGTAGAAATATGAATTTTCAATGCATTGACCTACGAATATCAGAGGTTGAACAATGCGCCCAGAACAACAAGACGAATAGATTAGCTTCCATGTCCTGCACTGTGCTCTCTGCTCTGTGAACCAATGCATTAAGGTAGTGGGGAGTTTGCTTTTAAGGGATGCTTGAATTACCTCTGCTTACTGGAGCCTGCGCTCTGCTTGGTTGCTCTTTGTTTTATGCTTTATACTATTGCCTCGTTTCACTCAGCAGTAAGTTGACTTGCTTGTACGTTCCGCTTTGATTGCCACTGCTTTGCGCATGTCTCGTTATACTTCCAGCCATGCGTGTTGGGATTTTGCTTTTAAGGGATAATTATTTCTAAAATTGGCTTGCACGCTCTGCTTGAATTACCTCTGCTTACTGGAGCCTGCGCTCTGCTTGGTTGCTCTTTGTTTTATGCTTTATACTATTGCCTCGTTTCACTCTGCAGTAAGTTGACTTGCTTGTACGTTCTGCTTTGATTGCCACTGCTTTGTGCATGTCTCGTTGTACTTCCAGCCATGCGTTAAGGTAGTTGCGGGATTTTGCTTTTAAGGGATAATTATTTCTAAAATTGGCTTGCACGCTCTGCTTGAATTGCCTCTGCTTACTGGAGCCTGGAGGAGGTCTGAACCGCTGCACTGCTACTTACTTGCCCGCTCACAAAAGACAAGCCCCATCGTTAGTACTTCGTTAGTAGATGTTAGTACTGCAGAAGACGTTCAATAGTACCAAATGCATACCAATTTTTTTTTTAAACGTAAACAGTGCACATTCACACAACAGACACTGCGTCAAACAGCAACTTAAACTGAAACAGCTCTGACCCATTAAAACACGTTAGTACAGGTAGGGGTAGGTTGGGGAAGAAAAGTACAAAACGCGTACTTTGCACTGTACAGAAGTTCCAAATGAGGATTCAACTATTCTGCTCTCGTGAACTTGTAATCCAATGCCTTCCTAATGAAATCGATCACTGTTCATTGATTATAGTTTCCCACATTACGTACAACATGCCAAAATGTATGTGATTTCAGAACTCCTCGAAAAGGGTAAGAAAAGTACACCACCGGGAAAGAAAAGTACAACGAAACGGATTGCGATTTCGAACCAGGAGACCACTAATCTTGGCTCAATACATGTTTACCCGTTAAGTGGAGAGTTTTCACTTGCCATTAGTTCAAGTTTCGTCAAAATCGGTCAATTGGTTCTGATTCTACATGGACTCATCACAGAAGGTGCAAAAAGCCTTTTCTCAGAGATAAGTAAGTACAGCATTTTTGTACTTGTCTTCCCCTTTTTACGTAAATGCGCAATAACTTGTTTATTTCGAGTCTAATTCCATAACTTGTGTTGACTTTTTTTGCTTGTCTCGCCTAATCAAACCTATTTTAGGGATCAATTCAATTTTCATCCCGCTTTTAGTTTCTTAGAGGGTGTTTTTTTCTTCCCCAATGCCTGTACTTTTCTTCCCCAGCCGACTGTACTTTTCTTCCACATTTCAATTTTACACTTATAAAAAATTGTGTTGAAGCCTAAGAGCATCGAACGGCACTGTTTTTCAAAGATGATGGTCTAAGCTATAAGGTGGTACCTTACATTGGACTGTCGGCTGATTATGCAGGAAGCTGTACTTCAAAGTACAAACATTAAAAAAAAAGATTTTCATAGTTATTTTTAATGTTTTCTTCAAACATGCAGTTTGATTCTAAATATTGTATGTAGAACTGGGCTTAATTTATTTTTTGTTAGCGGGATGACCAATTTTTCGAAAACCACTAACGTGATGGTTCAGTATAGTTTCAGTTCGGAGATATAACGGGTGTTTTTTTCTTACCCGAGCCTCGAGTGTACTTTTTGGCCCGCCCTTCTATTCAAAAAATAGGGGGAGGGCCTATGCATTTCCCTTTGTGTCTGTGTGTTGTTGTTGTTGTTGTTGTTGGCGTCTGTGTACAAGGAAGGAGTTGAGCTAGAGTAACCAGATTTGGAAGGTACTTCAGGAGTACCGTCCAAACAAATAATCCGGTGGTGCAAATCCCGTCCGGGTCGCACAAGGGCTGCTGCAGGTGCATCATGGTTTACATGAGCGGGAGGGGGATTTCCGCCATTACTGGTGCTAGCAGGGCACATAGTGGTATTTTTGGAATCGGGGCGACGAGACAAGATGAATGGACCTGGTCCCGACCCCATCGGCCGCTTTTACAAGTTGGCCAGATCAGGATCTTTAAAAAAGGGGGTCGACCGACTAAAAAATTTTATTGCAGATTTCGATTGGTCCCAGCAAGACCTTTTCAACGAGGGGTCGGAAAGGGGGTCCAGGAGCCCGACTTCGTCTATTAGTCACATCAGGATCTTGAAAAAAGGGGGTCGACCGACTGAAAATTTTTTCTTAAGTTTTCGATAGGTCTTGGCAAGACCTCTTCAACGAGGGGTCGGAAGGGGGGTCCAGGAGCCCGCCTTCATGACTTATGGGAAAAAGTGCGACGGACTCGTTTTGCGCTCCTGTTGTGCCTCTATTGCAAGGAGTTGCAGTAGCATGGCAAATATGGGTATTTTCGGAATGAGGGCGAAGAGACAAATGAAATGGGCATATTCTAAGGACAGTTGGAGTAAAAAGTGTAAGGACTATGCATATTGTGAATAGAAGGGCGGGCCTAAGTCACGATGGTACATCGATAACTTTGTTTTACCCGCTCACGGTGTGTGTGATGCGAGCGGGCCGAAGGCCCGGGCATTCGACTGGCCAAGTTGGGTCTGATGCGAGGGCCGAAGGCCCGAGAAAAGGCCGCCGGCAGGCCAAGCTGGGCCGGCCCCCTGTCGAACCGGGTTGCCGGCGCAGCGAAGCGGAGCTGGCAATTCGGTTCGACGGAAGGGCGGGCCCTAGCTTGTCTTACCCAACCTACCCCTAAGTACCGAGCTAAAATCAAAGCTGCCGCACAGACACGTACCGTTAGTGACCATAAGGTAAACACTCGACAGTGCAGGAATCGGCTTTTTTAAAAACAAGACCCAGCCCAATCAAACTTCTATTTTTTGGATGAACTTTGTTAGTAGACGTTTGTACCGAGCAGAAAGAAGAGCTGCCACGACGTTAATGTATCGTTGTCAAGCGTCACGCAGACGAGTGACAATGCAGGTATCGTTTCATTTTAAAAACAGACCCAGCACAATCAGACTTTTGTTTTACGGATGATTTTTGTTAGAAGACGTTAGTTCCGGGCAGGAGAAAGAGCTGCGACATCGTCACCGTATCGTTATCAAGCGTCACGCAGACGAGTGACAGTGTAGGTACCGTTTCAAACAGACCCAGCCCGATCAAACTTTTATTTTTCAGATAAACTTTGTTAGTAGACGTTAGTACCGATCAGAAAGAAGAGCTGCGACACCGGCACCGCATCGTTATCAAGCGTCCGTACGGGAACGGACTGCACCGCTCTGTGAGGTGACGAGCGCCCGGCTCGGTACGCAGCACAGCACCCACCTGTGGTTTTGACGGGCCCGTTTTGACCGTCTCCCGTTTGATGCGCTGATGGGTAGAGGGGTCCACAGCATGGTGCCGCGGTGCATGGCAAGTCGGGTGAGACGCTTCAATTGAATATTTCTATTGAATATTTCTATTGAATATTTCTATTGAATATTTCTATTGAATATTTCTATTGAATATTTCTATTGAATATTTCTATTGAATATTTCTATTGAATATTTCTATTGAATATTTCTATTGAATATTTCTATTGAATATTTCTATTGAATATTTCTATTGAATATTTCTATTGAATATTTCTATTGAATATTTCTATTGAATATTTCTATTGAATATTTCTATTGAATATTTCTATTGAATATTTCTATTGAATATTTCTATTGAATATTTCTATTGGGTAGGTCAACTGAGAGGTAGGTCAACTGAAACGATTAAAAATAGGATTTTCGAATATTTCTATAATACAGATTTATTCAATATTTCTATCAATATTTCTAGATTAGATATATGGGTAGGTCAACTGAGAGGTAGGTCAACTGATCCACCCCGCTTTTTACTGACAGACTTCAGAGATGTTCCAATGTCGGGACACCGTGCGATGCGTTAGCATTGGCATTTTCGAATTTCACGGCGTTTTTATTTCTTTTTATCAGCGACTTTAAATTTTGACAGTTGGTACGATGGCACCGTGTCGTTGCCATGGAGACTATTTTCTCATGTTTTAACCATTTTCTCAGAACACAGACGATTTCTTGTCACTTGGATGAGGCAGGAGGTTTACTTTTGAGGAGTGGCACATTTTCTCTTTGAAACGTTTCTGGAAAATGTGAACGGATAAGGGTGCTTGATTGTTCCAAATTTATGTTTTAGTCGTTCACGTTAAATTCTCACGATAAATTTTTGAAATTTTCAGGAATTTTTATTTGATTATGATAACGAGTAATTTGGCGGGATCCATTTTCCAATCACAGGATACCGGAAAAAAAATAAGAATCTGAGCCGTCCCGGGCAATAGGGGTCCTCCTTCGTCGGAACCCCTAAAAATTGGCAAAGGTCTTCTTGGCACTACGCGTCCAGCCAGCCGCGCTCCGCGAACGTGCACACGGTGTGCTCCACCTTGCGCGCGTACGCCTCGCCGCCCAGCTCCAGCATGAACACGAAGGTGTCCGGGTTGTCGCGGATGGTGGCGGGGTCGGCCGTGATCCAGCGCAGCATCGTCAGGATGTGGAACAGCTCGGAGCGCGCCAGCTCGTCGATCTCCCGCCACGCCGCGGCCAGCGAGAAGGGCGCCGTGTCCACGCCGCACTGCGCCAGCGTGCGCACGAAGCTGGCGTGGTACAGCGCCACCAGCTCGTCCAGGTGCGCGGCGCAGGCCTCGGACTGCACGCTCGAGAACAGGAAGAAGAGCACGTCCTTGAACGGCGAGTTGATGCGCGACATCTGTGGACAGAGCGAGGCAGAGTGGGCCGTGGTGTTAGTCTGGCTGCCGGTGTCGTGTACCATTAGGAGAAGTGTACCTTGGGGTGCATTCATCGCACGATGGCTGTATACCCTCTTTCGATCGGATTTTAGACAACCATCGCGCGATAGTTCTACCCTTGGGGTACATTCATCGCGCGATAGTTGTACCCTTTGGGTACATTCATCGCGCGATAGTTGTACCCTTGGGGTACTACATTCATCGCGCGATGGCTGCACCCACTCATCGTGGGGGTACATCCATCGTCCCACACCGGTGCGGCCAGGGCGGCGCCGGGGCGGACGGCAGCTCGCGCGGCACGGCTGTCGGATGGGCTGCCTACCCACGCGCCGCAAGGCGAACCCAGCCGAACCCAGCGCACCTGGAAGTCGATGAAGGCGACCTGCTGCGGCTTGCCCGCCTCGTCCCTGCGGAGCAGCATGTTGTTGGTCCACAGGTCGTTGTGGAAGATGGTGGCGAAGGGCTCCCGGGCGTCGGGGAACTTCTCGTCGCGGCCGAGCCCCGACTCGGCGCACACCTTGGCCACGGCGTCGTGGTGGCGCCGCGCGCGCTCGCTCTTGTTCACGTTGTGCAGGATGCAGGCGGCGAACTTGGCCGCGCTGTCCTCGAACTCGGCAGTGCCGTCGCCGCCCATCTGGAAGTCGCGGCACGCCCGCTGCACCGTGTCCGCGTACACCTTGTGGGCGGAGGGAGCGTCTTTACAGTGGTGCTGCCGCGACGGACCCACCTTGACCATGCACTGGATGGCGTACCTGCGGCCGCTTGTTCCGGAGCGCGACGCCCAGCGCCTGCAGCACGGCCAGCTTCTCCAGGACCAGCTTGGCGTCCTCCAGGTCGAGCCCCACCACGCGGTTGCCGGTGCCGAAGCCGCGCTGCCGCATGTCCTCCAGCAGGATGGCGGCGTCCTCGTCCACCGCGGCGCCAGGCAGTCCGGACAGGCTCACCCTGCCGCCGTAGCACCTGCAGCAGGCCGACCGGACGACCGGCAGTTAGCACGCGGCGCATGGCAGCCGTGATGGCTGTCGAGCGACTGCGAAGGCTCCTTGCGTCGCTCTGTCTCTGTCGCACTCGCGGACGCGACACAGTGGGCCAGAAGACCGGTGGAGGCGGCCAAAACTCTAGACGCGTTTTGAGCTCCAGAGTCGCTAAACAGGCCTCGAAACGAACGTGTGACCCCACCAGAGGATTCCTCGTTCGGAGAGCAATCCATTGGTGGGGTCACACGTTCGGTTCGAGTCCCATTTAGCGACTCTGGAGCTCAAAACGCGTCGAGAGTTTTGGCCGCCTCCACCGGTCTTCTGGCCCACTGTGCGCGAGCGAGAGCGGCCAAACGAGCCTTGAGTCGCTCGCCAGTGGCGTGGAAGTGCCATGTCACTGACTGGGGGACGAGGTGCGAGACGAGGTCCTCCTCGGGGACGCCGCAGTCCTGCTGCAGCTGCAGCATGGCGGGCACGGCGAGCGTGTACATCTCGAGCTCCTTGAAGAACGTCACCTCCACGCTGAAGATGGCGCGCCTCTCCGGGTCGTCGGGCAGCATCTTGCAGAAGGTGTGCAGGTGCCTCCGCGTGGCGTCGCCGCCGTCGCCGGCCTGCATCAGACAGATCAGCTGGTTGGCGAGGGCCATCAGCTCGTACTTCCCTCCCACGCGGCGGCTGTGTTTTTGCCTTTGGAGTTCGGCGGGGTCGGCCCCTCCGGCCACTCCGCACGTCAGCGTCCACCGGCTTCGACGCGGACAAATGTTTACCTGTGAGCTCTTCTTCCGGATGACGATGTCCAAGGCGAGCATCGTGCTGCCGTAGTTGTCGCCGAGCGCCGTGGCGGGCTTGGCGTCGAACTTCTCGACCTCCTCGCCGTCGGCCAGCTGCGCCGCCAGCAAGGCCTGCAGATCGCGGACCTCCTTCAGCGGCGGCGGCCGAACGTCCTTCGAGTCCTTCGAGGCCATGGCGGCGGTCTGACTGGAGGACTGCGAGGACTACGCCACACTGCGAGACAAACGGCCAGCATTTGGTTGAAAAATCTGTTTCACTTTATTTATTTTGGCCGGACAGTGTTTGCCAGTCGCTCCCGTATGATTGGCGCCCAAGGCTGTCCCACGCCCCCTCCCCTCCCCTCCCCTCAACCGCGTCACGCCTCAGTGCGGACGCGTGCACGCGCCTCCGGCCCGTCGCTGCACTTCAGCGCGGTCAAAAGTCGGAGCGGGGCCGAAAATATCAACTAGCCCACCTGGCAGAACTGATGATGAAGAAGCTGATGACGTCAACGGCGGTGGGCGCGGCAGGCCCTTCAGGAACCTTGCACCCAAAGCTGCCCAAAGTTCGGCAAGTTCCGCACAGCGAGAAAGGACGAAAGGCTCAGGGAGATAAGCTCGAGCGTTAATGAGATAAGGCAGCCATGCCAGCACGAAAATAGATAATGCTCCACCGCGAGTCACCGAGTGAATTATTTTGGTTCGTCGCTCCACAAGGCCCACGAAACAGGGCCGGGAAATAGTGGAACTTAAAAAGGGCCTAACACAACTTAACCTAACCTAACCTAAACTAACCCAACCCGACGAAATCGAACCCAACACGAGACCGAACCAAGTGTAAACGACACTCGCTGGGAAACTGGGAAAACTAGAATGAGCCAGTGATTGGAAATTTCCAACTGTCACTCTTCAAGTACACGCGCAAAGTTGCACGTTGGCGCCTAAACTTGCTCGGCGGTGGCGGGCGGTACTCACCGAGGCGTGGCTGGCGCGCGAGTGACGTGTGGCGCTTGCAGTGGAGACAGATGGCGGCTGCTGCCGCCTGCCCTCCCCTCCCCTCCCCCTCCCCTCCCCGGCCGGCCCGGCCCTTTCCTTCCGACTTATTCCGCTTTTTGTTGGAATGAGGCAATTTCTCATACAGAACCGAACAGACTAGAAGCATCTAGAAGTGTAAAGTGTAGCGAAGTATTTCTCATAATGTAGTACCTCCCGCGATGCGCGGAGTAATCTGTACGCGTATGTGTGTCTCTGTACGAGTGTGTGAACGCACAATAAATTCGTGAAGTTTCGTGAACCGAATTGCTGTGTCTCAATAGAGAAACATCCCAAACCTGGCACATATTTCAACAGGTTATGGGCCCAGGAATATTCTGTGATAATAAGTTATGGTTGAAATCACGCAATTAACTTGTAAAGTTGTAAGAAGTGTGAAGGGCCGTCGCCGTCTTTGTTCTCACAATGTGGTCTAAGGAATTTGTGTTTTAAGTTAAAAGGGACGTTGACTTTGGAAGTTTGATTTGATTTTTATCGGAACGGAGTTATTGTTGATCTTGTTTGTTACAGGAGAGACATTATTTATTTGAAAATCGGAAGAATTTGATAAGTTTCTTAATGGTTGTTGAATACGCCGAGGTTAGGCTAAAAGCGTAAATCTGAAGTTTTTGATGAAATTATGAATGGAAACGGATGCAAATGATGAAATTCAATAAGAAACCGATGTTAAGTTATCGTCAATGAAGAAAATTTGGCCGAAAAAGTCTTTGTTTCAGAGAAATGGCCTAAAAATGTCCGAGTTGGGTATTCCCCCTGGGTGTGGTCTAAGTCCGAAAATTGCTGTTTTTGAAGTGAAAAAGTGACTTTGGTGGTAAGGCATGACTAAGAATATGATGCTTTATGAATAAGTTTGTAGTACTCAGAAGCCTGGAATGAATTTCAACGTATTTGTGAGTATTTTCGACGTTGTGACTGTCTTGTTGTGTGCGATCCTTTGTCTGCACTTGGCTTCTTTGTCTGAGTATTCCCCTCACGGGAGCGACAGTCTTTAAAGGTTTTTCAGTGAATGACGAAATATTTCTAGAATGTGGAGAAAGTCAGACGTCTGGAACTAAAGAAATGATGCAGAGAAAGCTTGTAAATAAGAAGTGAAACTAAGTGGATCTTTCTGGAAGAAAAACAAGTTTGAGTTTTATCTTGCAACGAGTGGTATGTACGTATGTAAGTGAACAGTGGCAAAACAAAGTTTTCATTGTGCAATAATTTTATTCAAAGCGAGAATGTGAACTGGCAGTGAACGGTGTTCGTATAATTCACGTGTGACTGAGAACAGAGAGTGAGGTTATGGGTCGACTAGCCGGCCGCCCAGCCCCAGCGGTCTGTAGTACGGCATAGCACCGAGAGATGGCGCCATGGTCGCTTCGGCTCAGAGTCAAGGTCAGAGGGAATGCCATTTTTGTTGTTCTGGAGTGTGATTCGGGTACCTTTGACGAAGCCTGGTAACAGTGTTTTTAGACATACAGTTTCCTGTAGCTTTGATTATTGAATGTTAGTTTCAGGAGGGGCAGATGGAAAATGTTGGTAGATGGAAAATGTTTGCAGATCGAACATTCGTGCGAAATGTGGGAGAGCACAGTCAATTTTAGAGTTAATACTAATGAAGCGGTACTATAAACAAACGAATAAAAAGGTTTAAACAAGTAAGATGAATTATAGTAAAAAATGCAATTTATTATTATTTAAACAAAATTATTCTGAAGTTTGTTGAAGTCTGGGTAAAAATGAAATTAGAAAGAAAACAAAAACAAGTTGAGGGAGTGAACCAGGAGCAATGTTTTACTTGAAACTGTTACTTCGTATCTGGTTACTGAACTAAGAACATGTTAATTCGTGTTTTCGTCTTATATGTTGAAGTGTTGCAGATTTCTATACTAAGGGACTGAAATGCTGACGAATGGTAAATATTGGTCATGAAGTATTTTGAAGAAAACTTTGAATTATTGATTGTGATCGGATGAATCAATTTTTGTTGTGAATTTTTGCAATGCCCAAAAGACATGTTGTGTGGTAAGTCATGAACACGTTCAAAATAAATTATTATTGCTTCTATATTTTTCAATGCAATCTGGGAGTGAGGGCTAAACTTGTAACGGAAAAATGAACCGAAAAAAAAATTTACATAGCGATTTTAAGTGAGTACAATTCTCTGTAATGCCAAATTTGGTGCAAGTGGTTGTGATATCAGAAACAAATTTGGGTGCATGTGGCTCAATGTAACTCGCTGTAACGTAAAGGAACTAGACTGATGGGTGAACAAACCAGAATGTGTGGTTCAAAAGGAAAAATAGAGAATGGAAAGTTATAAAAACAAGCTTATTTATAGCAATACTAATACTTGTCAGATGTGACTGTAATGAATGATTTTTCGTTGGATGTGTGAAATTTATTTTCCGTTAAATGTGAAATTTGAATAATCAATGTCTCGAGTTTCAGTGTTTTTCCCGTTGTCAGTTATGACTAAAATGAATGAGAGGAATGGAGGAGTCACCTTGGTCATCTGTGTAAAATGGACCTCAAGAAATATGTGTCTACAAATGTTACCGAAAAATACTACTGAAAGGACATCTTACATGAGTTTTTGGTGTTTGGAAATTCTTATGAGGCAAGTAAAAGAGGTAAATCTTTCAATTGAGACAACCCTTTGACGGTGTGTCGCAAGGCAAGTTAAAATTGAATCTATTAACTCTTGCAAATGAAATTAGCTCAAAAGTGCACTCTGACATGAATTGTGAAATAGAAATATTGAACAAAAAGATAAAAAAAAACTGGAAGTTCCAGAACCAAACTTGTTGTACCAGTGTGTCAGTCCGGACTAAAAGGGAGGTTCCCTAAGGAGATGTTCTCCTGAAGTAAAAGGGGAGGTTCCCTGTGAGGGAGGTTCCCCACGTAAAAGAGGGAGGTTCCCTTGTGAGGGAGGTTCCCCACGTAAAAAGAAAGAAAGAAAGAAAGAAAGAAAGAAAGAAAGAAAGAAAGAAAGAAAGTAAAAGAAAGGGAAAGGAAGTTTCCTGAAATTAAAAAAAAAACGGAGAGTTTCTCCAGAGAAATTGAATGAGAAATCAGTTTGCACTTTGAGCACAATATGATTGTTTGTTTGTTTGTTTTATGCTACTGTGTTTTCTTATGTTAACAGTAAATATGGAGGAAGACAAAGGTTGAGTACCCTAGAGAGTCGAGATTTCAAGCCGTTGGCACTGGTTCTGGACAGATAAACAACAGTGAGCGGATGGACTTGTATGACTTTGTTTGAATACCGAAATGAACGAAATGAAACTGAAATCTTAAATCATAAAGTGGATGTTGGAGTTGGTATTTGACGAATGGACAAGCGTAAAATTTGGAGGAAGAAACAATTGTAACATATAACAAAGTTATGATGCGTTTGAATGCTGTTTTCTGTTTACGAATTCATTCAATTTTTGCAAAGGACTTTGAAATGTGGTATGAAATTGCTTTTTGTTGAGTATTCTGTGACTGAAGTTGAAATTAAATTAATTATTAATGAATTTTTATTTTGAAGTGGAACAATATTAATGACATTGTTGTTTGAGCAAAGGTGTTAGTTACAGGTAAAAATTACAGGTAACAATTACAAATAATGGATCCGAGGCAAATCTTTACATGACGTGTGAAATGAATCTTCAGATTTCATATCTCAATTGGAGTATTCAAAATTTGGAACGGAAAAAGAAATGGAATTAATACCAAATATTTTTGTGATAAAGGACCCAAACCAGTCGGACTTGTCGAAAAAAAAAACTGAGTGTTTGTAAGGAGGTTTGTAAGCTTTGCATTTTTGTGTGACGTTTGAAAGGTTTAATTGAAAGAAATTTTTCCCGTACTTTGTTGTTTATGTACTCGGAAAATCGAGGAGGGGAAAGAGCAGCAGCAGCAATCACAAGCCAATCAGCAGTCAGTTGTCGATTTCCCTCGTATAAGTTTTGAAAATGTTTAGCTGTCAGTTTTTCTTGTGTGTTCTCTTGTGTTGATTAAAATGTTCAATAACGTTAAAACGCTTATTGCTTTATGCATAATACTATAAGTGACAGGTGTAAATTGCAGTATTTTAAAATTTTGTGTTTCTATACATAGTTATGAGCAGAAATGTACACCAAAGTGGTCTGAAAATTTGAGCTATGCGCTATGTAAAACCTAAGTATTGTTGTAACATTGATCTGTGTTGTTAACATCGAAATTGTTTTACAGTTATCATTTATCAGTCGAAAATGTGAATGTGAATAGTTGTCGTTTGGAGTTGCAATTTTGAATGTTTAATGGTAAGAGTCAAGAATGATTTTTCAGAGTGCGAAGAAATTCCTATTTTGCAGATGTAACAAAAGTGTTTTATGTTTATGTTGGTTGAAAGGAAATATTTAGAGCTGAGTAAAGTTGTCAATCAATGTGTGACAATCAGTGACCGTAAGTGTTAATGTTGTGTGCTAAGACTTAATTTGAATGTTTGTGTCAAAAGTTGTATGGTGGGTCGAGTCGAGTCTATAAATTGATATGCAAATAGTATGATATTGTTATTTTTCAGTGGTTTGAATTTGTGAAAGTGTTTGGTTTTAAAACTGTAACTTAATACTAATTGTTGACTTGAGGACTTTGTATTTCTGAAGTATGTGTTTGACGCATGCTGTGTCTAAAGTACTGATGATTTCTTTTGTATGTTTGGATTAAGCAAATTGCTGGTGAGGTTTTTGCCTATTTGTTTACATAGGTTTTCCCTGCACCATAAGTTTCAAGCAAACGGAACTTAGCCAAATGGAGCAATTTGGTACATTGAATTTGTTGTTGTTTTTCTTATGCGGCTAATTAAGCTCTAAACCGAATGAGTTGTATACATTGGTTGGTTGTTAATGTCTTGAAAGAATTTATACTGTGAAGTTAAAATGTTGAAGTTGAAATGTTCTGGCAGTAAAATTGTGTTTGTGGTGTGTCAAGTGAATGTAAGTTAAAATGTGCAATATAAATCAATTTGAAATTGTTGTGTGTTGAATCATAAGTCGCATGACATGATATGTTTAATGAAAATGTAAATACATTGTGTGTATTGAGAAATTGAGGAGGGGTGTTGGAATGAGGCAATTTCTCATACAGAACCGAACAGACTAGAAGCATCTAGAAGTGTAAAGTGTAGCGAAGTATTTCTCATAATGTAGTACCTCCCGCGATGCGCGGAGTAATCTGTACGCGTATGTGTGTCTCTGTACGAGTGTGTGAACGCACAATAAATTCGTGAAGTTTCGTGAACCGAATTGCTGTGTCTCAATAGAGAAACATCCCAAACCTGGCACATATTTCAACACTTTTCGGCGATAACCGCGCGATGACCAGCGACGACTGGCGATGACGAGGAGGTCGTGACGCGCTGGACGCGCTGGCCGGCAGCGCTCAGGGCACTGCCAGGTACTGGCTGCAGGCGCTGCAGCGCCGGCTCGCTGAGGCCTCATCTCATCCCTCTCGCACTCATGATGCGTCCCTTGTGGGTGCGAGAGAGATGGGCCGACGCAGCGTCACGCGGAAGCAGCAAGCAGCTCGCCGAGAGCGGCTAGGCGAAGGGAGAGGGAGATGCACTCGGAGAGTGGGAGGGACGACTCGTTATGTGACGCTGACACGCTGACCTCGGCCTCTCTAGTCTAGGCCGCCCATACAGTGTGCGATGGGTTGCCTGCCAGTGGGCGCACCGGCTGGGACGGGCTGGCAGCGGGAAGGAGAGCAAAAACAACAAGACAGCGGGTTTTTGTCTTTTCTTTATTTCTAGAGATTCGTCGTCATTCGACTGCAAGTAAAAATGTACAATGGTTCAACGAAAGGATTACGTAAACTGTACAATAGGACACATTACAAATATGAGATGGATGTGAGCTCGGCGCCAGCGACCAGGGCAAACCCAACCAACGCACACATGCACTCACTCACACACTCACACACGCAATCACTCCAAGTTATCACATTGCTTGGGTACCCGGTACCTGCTCAGCGCCCCGAGCCGCCTCCCTCGCCGCGCTCGGCCAGACTGGCCGTGGTGTGGCGGTTTGGTGGACTCGGTGCGCCAATCCCTAACCAAACTGACGCCGAGGAACAATTTTCTTAAAAATATCTTTGGTGTCGAACCTAAATTGAAACAAAGTTGATAATAACAACACGCTTTCCTAGATTGTGCCGTGCCTTACATAAAACATGAAAACGCTTTCGCTGGTCTCTACAGACATTGATTGACTTTCCCGCGCGCAAATCGCGGCTGATAAACATCTATATTCTAAAAGATTGTTTTAATTAAGAATCTTAACAAGTGCTACTTATTTAATTATGTACACGATTTAATGATATAACAGGAAAACTGAGCGTCGTAACAGCTGTAGACGAACTCGAAAAACTCAACATCTACACAAGCTATATCCAATTAAGACTTACGCCTGCGAGAGCGTGAGCGCGAGAGCGCGAGAGCGGTCGCCTGAGCGAGGAATCGGAGGAGTGGGGGAAGAGTTTGGAGGGGAACTCTTCCCCCACTCCTCCGATTCCTCGCTCAGGCGACCGCTCTCGCGCTCTCGCGCTCACGCTCTCGCAGGCGTAAGTCTTAATTGGATATAGCTACAGGAATGTGTCCTTTCCTCACTAAAACGCCCCCGCGGCGCTCGAGTCGGAAAAACTACGTTCGCTCTTCGGCGAAGAAGCTGATTCTGAGAGGCATTTGCCCTTTCCGAAGCAGCCCCTCAGTATCGGTCGCAACAATGTTCCTTTGTTTTAAAGACGTAATTATTGTTTTGAAACTTTCAGTCCGTGTGATATAGTTTGTGCGTACCGCTCGAGAATACAACACAGTAAGTACGAAATCTGACTTAAAAACAAACAACAAAATACGAAAAATCGAAAAATCTAAATTGTGCGCAACAGGCTCACATTCATAGAAGGCAGTGTGTCTGAGACTGTTTCAAATCGCTCGTAAGTACTCATAAAATTTTACATCAGCATTCCAGTGTGTAACAACAAAACATTCACAAAACATCAAACAGACGAACAAATTTCCATTAAACAGACGAAACGTGAAAAATAACCCGTCGAGAGACAGGGTGAGGATGCGGAAGGGAAGAGCCACAATTAGCGTGGCTAGAGGAGGTGGGCGGTGTTGCAGGCCTGTGCTCGGGTGAGACAGTCCTGCTTTGAGAAGACACCGGCTAGCGCTGGGGTGGCGTGGTGGCAGCACCGCCGCCATGCCGCCGCCCAGGCGTCGTCTTGGATCATGCTCTCGGCCGCGTGGTGGCCGTCGGCGCCGTCGGCGTGGTCGCGGCCATCCCTCGCGACGCTCACGGCGTCGCGGGGCACTTGGCGCAGCACTCGCCGGGGGCCTTGACGGCGTCCGCGCACGTCAGCGAGGGGCACTGCACAGGCGTGCACTTGATGACGTCGCCCTGCGAAAGGAGCAAAGTGTGAGCCAAGGCCATCGCCCCGAGGACAGGAATTGCAGTGCAGCCACACTCACCTTGCAGGCGCAGCGGGTGCAGGGGTCGCGCTGCCACTCCTCGCCGTCGTGCCTCCGCAGCCCGCCGGCCTCCTCCAGGCAGCCGTCCTGGTCGTCGCGGTCCTCGCGGTCGTCGCGGTCCTCGCGGTCCCGGTGGTCCAGGCGGTTGCTGCCGCAGCGGCCCTCCAGGCGGCGCAGCTTCCTCCGCAGCTGGCGCACCGCCTTCTGGAAGCCCTCGATGGCCGTCTCCAGGCCCTCGATGCGCTCCTCGCCCAGGTCGTCGCCCAGGCCCAGGTCCAGGGCCGCGTTCAGCGCGTCGTCGTCCTCGTTCTGCCACTCGGCCGCCTTGGGGTCGTTGAGCTCGCGGCGGTATCGACGCACCCCGCGGTAGAACGTGCGGCCCAGGCTGCCGAACTGGCCGGCCGACCTGCAGTCTGCGCACAGGGAGGGAAAGTGAGAACGTCGGGCATGCCTCTTGAAGACCAATCCACTCTCTAAAAAAAATGGCGCATACCGGCGTGTATTTCTGACTCACCCTGGCAGCACTCGGCCCAGAAGCGGAACTCCATCCGGGGGATGTCCCAGGACTCGCAGCTCAGCAAGTTGTCCTCCTTCTCCAGGTAGAAGACGTCGCGCTGCATGCGTGTCAGCTGGTCCCCGTTGTCGCACAGCACGCGCGCCAGCGTGGCCTGCTTGATCTGCGTCAGCTGCTCCGGCTTGAAGACGGCGGGGTTCTCGTAGTAGAACCTGCGGCGGGGAGCGGCGTGAGGCGGCGAGTCGACGCGGTTCAAGAGCGTGACGTCATGACGTCATCGGCGGGCATTACCTGTCGCCGTCGCGCAGCCGCTTGAACTGCTCCACCAGCAGGCAGCGGAAGGTGGGGCCCACCTTGGCGCCGTCCACCTGGTCCTCCAGGATGCCGCCGACCCACAGGTCCAGGTTGCCCGGGTGCCCGTACATCTCCTGCAGCTTGTCCCGCACGGCCTGGCTGCTGATGTGCTCGCGGAGGTCGTCGAAGGTCTCGGCCACGCGCAGCCCGCACTTGGCGCGGTACGCGTTGTACTCGGGCAGGCCGTGGTCGCGGCCGCGCTGGATGTTGATGGCGGCCAGGTCCAGGGCCACGGCGTGCGCCACCGTGAACAGCTGCTCCGTCAGCTCGGCGTTCAGGTTCTGGCTGGGGGTCTTGAGCTTGGCCGGCGTGTGCACCAGGCCGCGGAACAGCGGGTCCACGCCGCCCTCCACCACCTGCACAGAGGGCGTCATGTCAACGGGTGGCAAAGCGGCAGGCCTAGGCGCGGAGAGGCGCCGCAGTGACCAAGCTTACCAGCCTCCAGGGCGAGAAGAAGGCCTTGCCCAGGGGCAGGTGGCCCTCCGGGATGGGCATGAAGGACTCGTTGAGGCGGTGCAGCTGCGGGTTGATGAGCGAGTGGCCGAAGCGCAGCGCCGCGGTGGCGAACGCGTTGGAGATGCCAGGGTTGACGTTGGGGTCGTAGCCCTGGTAGGGGCCCATCATCTCCATGCCCCTGGGGCCCAGCACGGTGGGCAGCCAGTGCTGGAACGTGATGTGCTGCACCTGCGCGCCCACGATCTGGAACACCGAGACAGCAGTCGGTCAGGACTCGCCGAAAAGAAAGGGCGAAAAGTCGGGAGTCGAACCCGGAGCCTCACCTTCCTGGCCTCGTGGTACAGCGTGTCGCCGTCCCAGTGCGGGTTGACGCGCCGCAGCTCGTCCGCCACGCGGTTGTGCTCGCGGAACCACAGCGTGTGCATGGCCAGCAGCCCCACCTGCTCGTTGGCGCGGATGTCGCCGGCCAGGAAGCAGCGGATGTCGGACTCGGCGGGGTCGCGGCGGCAGTCCATGGCCTCGCCCGGGTTGGGGAACGGCAGGTACGGCTTGCTGCTGTAGTTGTAGGCGGAGCCCTCGCGCAGCCGGCCCAGGTCGTTGGTGAGGTTGCGCAGGCCGCGCGCCTGCTCGTCCGAGAAGCCGTACACCTGCGAGGCGTCCACGAAGGCGGTGAGCTGGTTGATCTGCTCGCGGGGCTGCATGCCGTCGAACAGCACGGACGTCTGGCCCGAGCCGCAGATGGCGCTGCTGCGGATGAAGTCGATGCAGCGCCTGTTGTTGACGCGCGGGTCGTTGGGCGGCACCTCGATGGGGTAGCAGGGCGCGGCGTACTCGCAGGACCTGCGGAAAAGGAGGGGGCGTCAGCGAGAGCAAGATCACGGCACGCAAGGCACGCAAGGCACGCAAGGCACGTACTTCTTGCAGTCGATGCCGTCCCAGCTGGTGCTCGTCTCGGACGGGATGGCGTGGTCCAGGTCGTGGTCCAGGAACTGCCCCCACTGCATGACCATGTGCGTGATGCTGGGGTCGGGCGTGATGGCGTCCGTCTTGATGATGCTGGTGGACACGAGGCGCGCCGACGGCTTGGGGAAGCCGAAGTAGCGCATGTTCTTGTTCCAGCCGATGGGCGTGCTCAGGCCGTTCTCGTACTGCGGGCGCAGCACGCGCCGGAAGCCCGTCAGCGACGCGCCCCACATGGGGTGCTGCAGGTTGTTGCAGGTGCCGTCCACCGTGCGGTACTTGAGGTGGAAGCACATGTCGGAGCAGTCCACAGTGGGCCGGTGCGCCATGCAGCCCGACAGGTTGGCCACCAGCTGCAGCTGCTTGGGGGACAGCAGCTCCGTGTAGTTGAAGTCTGGCGGCCGACCAAGAACACAAGGACCAAGTCATTGAAAGGTTATGAAAGGGCAGCAAACACACCTAGAGGGGTTATTCACCCACATTATAAATTTTTTAAAGTTACACATTTGGTTAAACTCACCCTGCGTGACGTTCATCTTGGTGCCGGCCTCCACGTGCCTGCGGATGTTGATGAGGGTCTTCTCGAACACGTCGGCGGGCCGGACCACGTCCCTGGCGGTGGCGTCGGGGAAGCGGATGGCGCGGTACAGCGTGGCGTGGCTGCGCTCGGCCTGCTGGAACGCGGACAGCGTGGCGTTGACGGCGCGGTCCACGGCCAGCATGGCCTCGCTCAGCGCCTGCCGCACGAACGGGTCTCCGGGGGCGGTGGGGCCGCGCGGCGACGAGGCGCCGTCTCCTGCGCAAGGACATCAAGGTTGAAGACGCCAGCACCGGAGCGTGGCGGGTCGGCCTACCCGCACGGCTGCCAACGGCCAGGATTCCAAAACAACCAGAAGACCTAGAAGACCTGCTCAACACAGCCCCTAGAAACGGGGTGAACAAAGACAAGTGTCGGACTCGGATAAGGTGTGTAGGGGTGGACGGCCAAAAGGCTGTTCCCGCTACATACCCAGATGCGTGGGCGTATGAACCCGGTCTACCGAGAAAACCACTCCTCTCAGTAGGGACGCCCCGTCACGTGCTGGTGAATCACCGACATGACCGGGCGGGCCCGAAAGGCAGACGATCACTTGTGGTCCAGCCGTTAATCGCAATCGCAATCGCCTGCAGCGTGGGCCAGCCCGTCGAGCACCGGAGCGTGGCGGGTCGGCCTACCCGCACGGCGCCTGCAGCGTGGGCCAGTGAAACAAAGCCTACCTCTGACGGCGAGCAGCCCCTTAGCGGACACCTCCTCGGCGCCGTCCGTGGCCGTGCACTCGTAGAGGCCGGCGTCCTCCAGGGTCACGTTGTAGATGCGCAGACTGCCGACGCGGCCGACGCGCAGCCTGGGGCTGACGGTGACGCTCTGGCCGTCCTTGCGCCACGACAGCAGGGGCTGCCCGACGTCCGCCTCGGCGCTGCACGGGATCTCCACGCTGGTGCCCACCATGGCCTCCATGTTGAACGGGTGGTGCACCAGGCGCACGCGGCCTCGGGTCCGCGGGACGGGTGCCTGCCCTGCCTGCGCTGCCTGCGCGGGCTCCTGGTTCTGCACCTGGTTCTGCAGCTGCGCCAGCGTCTGCGCCTGACTCAGCACCTGCACGCGCGCCGTGGTCTCGGTGGTGCCGACGGCGTTGTCCGCGCGGCACATGTACAGCCCGCCGTCGGCCTCCTTGGCGTGCTCCACGCGCAGCTCCTCGCCCGTGCTGGAGATGGTGGTCCTGGGGCTGGCCGAGGTGACGCTGCGGCCGTCCTTGAACCACGCCACGACTGGTCGCGGCGAGCCGTCCACCCGGCAGCGCAGCAGCACCGTGCCGCCCGCCTTGACCGTCAGGTTGTCGGGCCGCGTCGAGATCCGCGGCGCCACTGCAAGAAAGAGAGCCGTCAGCGATGCACACTTGGACACTGCAGGCAGGTCAAGACTAGCCAGGACGAGCCAAGACGGGTCATCCGGGGCCAGTTACCTCTCGGGATGGTGATCGTCTCTGTGGGAGCAGCGTGAAAGAGGAAGAGAGAGAAACAGGTTCATTCATTTGCCGACAGTGTGCATGCATTACCACTAGCCACTCCTAGGGGACAGTACCGTTGACGACGACGGTGGCCGAGGCGCTGACGGAGCCCACGCTGTTGCTGGCCGTGCAGCGGTAGTCGCCGGCCTCCTCCACCCGCATCCCCGTGAGCACGAGCGTGCCGTCGGCGGCGATCTGGAGGGGCAGAGCCAGTCAGTTTCTGTCGTTGTTTCCGTCGCGAGGCAGGGCGAGGCAGGGCGACGCACTCACCAGCGAGCGCGGCGTGTGCGCCACGGGCCGGCCGTTGCGGCTCCAGGACACGAGGGGCGGCGGCGTGCCCACGGCGCGGCAGTCCAGGGTCACCGTGTCGCCGGGCGCCACCTGCCAGTCGCGCGGCGGCCGGATGATGTCGGGACGCTCTGCAACAACAAGGAGAGCGTGTCACTGACAGGACTTCCCCTATCCATCACCGGGTGTTTCCTTACAGGTGTACAGTGGGCCAGAAGACAGGTGCAGGGGGCCAAAATTCTAGACGCGTTTTGAGCTCCATAGTCGCTAAATGGGACTAGAACTAAACGTGTGACCCCACCAATCGATTCCTCGTTCGGAGAGCAATCCATTGGTGGGGTCACACGTTTGGTTCGAGTCCTATTTAGCGACTCTGCAGCTCAAAACAGGTCCGGGATTTTGACCGCCTTCGCCGGTTTTCTGGCCCACTGTTAGGCGGTGCATGCCACAAACCGCTACCCTTCGTCAGCGCTCGGCAGGGCCGGCAGGGTTGCGGCAACGACATGCACAGCCGGGCAGCCGGGCCACCGACCGGTCCATTGTCTCGCGGCCACACCGCCACTGACCATCCTCACGCCCGGACTAGGGTTGCCCCTCCACTCCCCCGCAGTGCCGCAAGCCCTTGCCCAAGCCCCGGCAGACGGGGCCGTAAAAGCTACGGTTGCCACTCGACCGCAGCACTGCGGCGCGCGGCGCGGGGAAGCAGCTACAATACAGCGGCAGCGGTACACAGTGGGGCCGGAAGGCAAGGTCGAGGCGAGGACGGCCGGACAGAGAGCAAGGTGGGGAGGGAACGGGTCCCTCGCAGTGCACCAGCCTGGACACGGCCCGGCCGCGGAGAAGAGCGACCTCCTCCACGTGAATAATGGGGATGAAGGGGAAAACACAGTGCGATACCCCCTATCTACAACCGCTTCCTCGATGCACGGCTGGGGACAACCGCTCAGCTGCACCTTGCTTCCGGATAACCGCGCACCATCAGCCACCCTGCCGACAACCGCTTATCTGGCAGGCGGCTCCCGACAACCGCTCACGCCCCTTAAATACGGGAGATGAATCGACGCTTCGCAAATGCTGCATTTAATTCTTTGAGCAAAACTAACTAACCATACTACTAAAGACATTGCTACACTACATTCAGAGTCAATGGATTGGTTTGTACGGGCACTGTGACGGCCACTATGAACGGATAACTGGCGGCCACATAACCTAACCAGCGCCCGGCCGGCCGGGAGATGAGCGGTTGTCGGGAGCCGCCTGCCAGATAAGCGGTTGTCGGCAGGGTGGCTGATGGTGCGCGGTTATCCGGAAGCAAGGTGCAGCTAAGCGGTTGTCCCCAGCCGTGCATCGAGGAAGCGGTTGTAGATAGGGGGTATCGAGTGACAAGCAGGGCACACACAAACAACTCGCTCGAACCCCAAATGAACAAGAGCAAGAAGCAACTCACCCCTCCTCTTGCTGGTGACGAGGCGGGCGACGCGGGACTTGGCCTCGCCCATGGCGCTCTTGGCCACGCAGGCGTACGCGCCGACGCGGTCCATGGAGGGCGCCTCCACCATGAGGGTGCCGTCCGTCATGAACTCGTAGCCGGGCTCGGACGGGCTCATCTCGTCGCGGCTGGAAAAAAGGTCGGAAAGGAACGTCAGGGAAAACAAACACGACTTGGATGACCCGGCCGTCGCACGTGGGCCAGGAGACCGGTGGAGGCGGCCAAAAGTCTAGACGCGTTTTGAGCTCCAGAGTCACTAAATGGGACTCGAACCGAACGTGTGACCCCACCAATGGATTCCTCGTTCGGAGAGCTATCCATTGGTGGGGTCACACGTTCGGTTCGAGTCCCATTTAGCGACTCTGGAGCTCAAAACGCGTCTAGAGTTTTGGCCGCCCCCACCGGCTTCTGGCCCACTGTGCGCCGGCTGGGCCGCAGCCCGAGGGTCGGCAGAGGGTAGTCTGCCGCGGCCATGAAGCGCCTCGAAAGACAGCGACGCAGAGGCAGGGCAAACGACAAGCAGCAATAAAATGCAATAAACGCGGCGCGTCCCCCGCCGATTTCGCGGGCAAGAGCGCGCCACTTTGAAAGTGCAGTGGCGGCCAGCCTGCGGAAGCAGTCTCTCTGCCTGTCTCGCACACTCCGACGGGACGCTCCGATGAGTGCGAGGGAGACAGAGCGACGGAAGCCCCGCTCGGAGCCAGCCAGGTGGGATGGAGCCGAGCTGGCCGCGCGGAGTCGGCGGAGCGTGTAACTGCATAATAATCCGTGGAAATAAAGACAAAACCGTCGGCGGGGCCGCGGGGCCGCGGGGCCCAGGGCGATGGAAGGCCTGTTCATTATTATAATCATGCGGCTGCGCGCTGCGGCGCACAGTGGGCCAGAAGACGGTGGAGGCGGCCAAAACTCTAGACACGTTTTGAGCTCCAGAGTCGCTAAATGGGACTCGAACCGAACGTGTGACCCCACCAATGGATTCCTCGTTCGGAGAGCAATCCATTGGTGGGGTCACACGTTCGGTTCGAGTCCCATTTAGCGACTCTGGAGCTCAAAACGTGTCTAGAGTTTTGGCCGCCTCCGCCGGTCTTCCAGCCCACTGTGCGGCGGTCGGGCCGCACGCCGGACGCCAAGGGCCACGGGCGAAGGGAAGGGCGCACAAAGGCAACGACCCGAAGGGCCCAAGGGCCGAAGGGCCGCAACTCTGCCTCTGTCGCACTCGCGAGGCCCGCTCGAGGGGTGCGAGAGAGACAGCGAAACGGAACGACGAGGACCGCGGGAGAAAAACAAGCAAGGCGGCGGTGGCTGTGGCGTCAGCGAAGGCTCGCCAGAAGGGGTGGGGGGTAATAATTGGAGAGGGGAATTTTGTCAAGTGGCAGCAGCGAACGGGTTGCTATGCAGCCCGCAGCGCCCCGCACACAGTGGGCCAGAGGACCGGTGGAGGCGGCCAAAACTCTGGACGCGTTTTGAGCTCCAGAGTCGCTGAACAGGGCTCGAACCGAACGTGTGACCCCACCAATGGATTGCTCTTCGATCGAGGAATCCATTGGTGGGGTCACACGTTCGGTTCGAGTCCTGTTTAGCGACCCTGGAGCTCAAATCGCGTCCACAGTTTTGGCCGCCTCCGCCGGTCTTCTGGCCCACTGTGCCGCGCCCGGACGGAGCGCGCCAAAAACAAAGACGGTTTCGCCCTGCAAAGTGTATTATAGTGCAGTCATTTCGGATTTCTGCCCTGAAAGGGCGCGAAAGAACGATGGCAGCAGGCGCGCAGTCGGGGGAGGGGGGGGGGGGAGTCTCGGTAAATCATCCATCACACGACGGGCAGGGCCGGGACACACTGAACACGGAGCACGCCACGAGAATAAAATAAAGAAAATACAGCCGGGCGGGGCCGTGCCGAGCGGCAGCCGAGCGTCCCGCCTTTGTTTTGAGTGACGCGCCGCGGACGGCGATTGTCCGTTCGACACGATTGGAGTGCGTGTGGACATTGCGGACACGTACGGCGTGCCCGACGTGCTCGATGGACTGCCCGTCCCTGTACTCACCCTTCCTTGAGCCACACGATGCGCGGCTGCGGGTCCCCCTCGGCCTGGCACTTGAAGTACACGGGGCCGACGTAGTCCAGCTCGACGTCATCGGGCTCCTTCACGATGCGCGGCTTGCCTGCAAAGCGAAGGGAAAACGTGAAACCGAGGGACGCGCAGGAGGCAGAAGCAGCCCGCCTGGTAGGCTCCAACGCCGGCACGCAAGCACGCCGGGTTGCCTACCCTCTCGACTACAGGCGCTCCCGAGCCGCAACCTCATGAGGGGTCCGGAGCTTCCGCGTATATTTCTCATCAAGTTTGCCACTTCTCGCTTCCGGTCTTCTTCTTCTTCTCCTTCTGGCACATGTAAATTTTGGAACACTCTGTACTTCAGTTTTGGACTGGTTCTGGACAGCAAATTGGGCCGTTGAATCGAACGCGCTGTGCGGGCCCGGGCGAGGCGTCGAGACGTGGCGTCGAGACGTGGCGTCGAGACGTGGCGTCGAGACGTGGCGTCGAGACGTGGCGTCGAGACGTGGCGTCGAGACGTGGCGTCGAGACGTGGCGTCGAGACGTGGCGTCGAGACGTGGCGTCGAGACGTGGCGTCGAGACGTGGCGTCGAGACGTGGCGTCGAGACGTGGCGTCGAGACGTGGCGTCGAGACGTGGCGTCGAGACGTGGCGTCGAGACGTGGCGTCGAGACCAGTCGAGACGTCGCGTCCGACAGCCTTGTCAAGTGACTCGACGCACACTCGACGCCACATGCCCGGCCAGCCACTTGGCGGTGCCGAAAACGTCACCGCTGTCTCATTTCGAACAGTCCCTGCCCTCATCGCGGAGAGCGATGCAGTGGAGTAGCCAGTCAAAAAATGAAACGATGAGCTGGGAATCGATCGCCCGATCGCGCGGGGCGGCGAAAGCCCTGTTCTGAATCGGCCCTCTGGCTTGGCAGGCGAAGGCGATAGCCATTCGAGAGGCCGGCCATTAGCACGCGCGGTGCTTGAGTCTGCCGTGGCACGGCGCGGCACGGCACGGCGCGGCACGGCCAGCACCTTTACCTTGGGGTTATCACCCGCCATCCATTGCGCCGCCTAAACGGTCCAGAAGCGAACGCCCCTCCACTGTACAGTCACTAATTAGAGCAGGCGGAGGGGAGGGACTCGCGTGTCCCGAGTCTCGGCGCGGCTGAGCGAAACAGCGGCCCAGTCTAGGAAGTCTCGACCGGCGACAGAACTCGCTAGGTGGGGATGTGTCGAAGTGGTACTCACTGCAGTGGAAGTCGGCCTCGCGCAGCTCGGCCACGACGCGGCCCTGCAGCTCCGGCGGCGACGCGCAGGTGGCGGCGGCCTGGGTGCCGCGCTCCGCCAGCAGCCGCGCCAGCCACAGCGCGTTGCAGTCGCACGCCAGCAGGTTGTTGTCCAGGCGGCTGCGGACAGACAGGCAGGCAGACAAGGGTGAGAATGGCGGCGAGGGAACGCGGTGCGGTGCATGGACAGTGGACCAGACGCCGCGGCGTGACCCGCGAACCTCATCAGGGCCCACTTGTGGAGCAGGGGGGGCGCCCCGCCCCGCCCCGCCCCGCCAGCCAACAAACGTGAGAATTACAGCGCTGGAAAACGTGGTAATGAGCGGAAATTTCAACTTCCAGAGGAAACAGGCAGCCATTGGGCACGGCGGCACGGCGGCACGGCGTCCTGGCCAGCCCCTCCAGGCCTCCACATTAGCGCCCCACCCCTCTTTTTCCTGCCCCTCCTCGGCGGAGAACAAACCGTCTCCGCTGTCCTTGTTCCTCCCGCAGCGCCGAGCGCCATGCCGCGATAAAAACCGCACTCTCCGTCTCTCCTCCTGGAAGAGCGTCCACTTCCGAAATTATCTCACGGTTCCGGGCGGGGCGGGGCGGCGCGCGAAGCGGTCCAACCGGAGGAAAAAACTTCCCCTTTCGTCGAGACGGAGCTGTCTGCTCCGGAACCAAGTCGGGAACTCAAGTTGGCGGCGCACGGCTGGCTGGGCCTGGCTGGCCCGGACGGCCTGGGTGGTCGCTAAGGAATTCCTCTGCAGTACGCGTGGCAACCCCTGGGTCCTGGGTTCGAATACCGGTCCGTCGTTCATTTGTGCAGCTGGTATTTCCCCGAAAAAGGTCCGGAGGGCAAAAAGAGCCAGGGTGGCGCGGCGGGATCGAGTTGCAGGTTGCACCAGGCGGGCCGCGGCGGCTGCAGCGAGTTAATGGCGTCACCAAAGCCAGTGGGGGAGTTCACGAGGAAACACCTTGATAACGCAGTGCAACGGAGTTCGCGGCCGCCGGGGTGGGGCGGGGTGGGGCGTGGTGGTGGGCGGCGGGGACGCGGCGGGGGGTAATTTATTTCTCTGGGGGCGAAAGGGGGGCAGTGCCACGGCCAGGACGGGAAACCGAGGAGGTGTACCGAAACCACCCACTTCCCCCGAGTGCGAAGTGCCGTGCCGCTGCCCGGCTTGGCCCACGCGGCCCGCCCCACCCCGCCACGCCCCGCCACGCCCCGCCACGCCACGATAGAGACAGGGAGGATTTAGCGCGAGCTACTGTGTCCGCATTCAAACTCTTTCCCCTCCCCTCAGGGACACGCCCGGCCCTGGCTGGAGTGGACCCGCAGTGGCGCTGGAGCGTGGCGGCGGGGCGGCGGGGCCCGGAGCGTGGCGCCGGAGAGCCTCCTCCAGCGGATGGCGGGTCCGGGACCCGGAGCGAGAGCGAGACGAGGGCGGCCTGGCGGTGGCAGCGGGCCGGCCCGGCGGGGCGGGGCGCCACCACTACTCTGTAGTGCCGCAACTGCGCGGCCCGCGGCGGCAGATACGCAGATGCGCTCCTCGCGCTCCGCGCCGACTCTAATGCGGCGGCTCAGCCGAGAGCCCGGCTGCTTCCAAACGGTGCTCGCGGTGCGCCGTCACTCTCGCACTCGCGGGGCACGGGCCGCGGGGCACGGGCCGCGGGGCAGCGGGACGGAGAGCGCATTTCGGAACCAGACACTACAACAGCCCGGCGGCGGGGCGCGGCGGCGCGCGGCGGAGTGCACTACGATTTGCATGCGAGAATGAATTGCATTTCGAAACGAATACGGAACGGCCCGCCAGCCCGCCAGGCCCGCCTCGCCTTATCCGGAAACGCTCGCGCCCTCCCAGGCGCAAGGCGGCGCGTGTGGGCACGTGTGTGCGCACGCATGTGTGCGTGTGTGCTCTTGTTCCCCCCAGGCAGGCCGCGGAGAGGCTCACACAGGGCGGCCCGCGTGCACAAACACTTGAACAAAAGCATACACAAAGTGAACACCGGGATCGCTCCGCACTCTCGCCCCGCACAGTGGGCCAGAAGACCGGTGGAGGTGGCCAAAACTCAAGACGCGTTTTCAGCTCCAGAGTCGCTAAACAGGCCTCGAAACGAATGTGTGACCCCACCAGAGGGTTCCTCGTTCGGAGAGCAATCTATTGGTGGGGTCACACGTTCGGTTCGAGTCCCATTTAGCGACTCTGGAGCTCAAAACGCGTCGAGAGTTTTGGCCGCCTCCACCGGTCTTCTGGCCCACTGTGCCCCGCCCCGCGCTGGGCCGACCGAGCCGAACGCCCCGGCGTCCTCGCGAAGCGGGAATTTCGAACTAGTTTCCCTCCATTACGCTGAAACCAAGGACACAAACAAGCGAGCGCGGTGACATGGACACACTGCGCACCACCACACGCGCGGCGCGCATATTGTGACTGACAAAAAATAACGATAAAAGTTAGCGACGCGCTCATCAGCGTGTCCCGTCCGGCCGTCCGTCATGGTGATTAGCCTCGCTGGGCGCGTGACGACCTCGTGACGTGACGGGCGTGGCGTGACGTGGAGCGACGTGACGAGGCTTGCGGTGCCCGACCCAGGCCCGCCCCGCCCTGCCCCGCCAAGCCCCGCCACGCCCCGCCCCGCCCCGCCCCGCCCCACCCCGCCCCGCCCCGCCCTGCCACGCCCCGCGCAGAGGCACGCGCCCAGTTTTACAATGCAAAAGGGCGGAAGGGCGGAAGGGCGGCCTTTGTTTTGTTTTCGACTTACATCCGTTTCAGCGACTGCAGGTTCCTGAACGCGCTGGGCGGGATGGTGCGGATCTTGTTGTTGTGCAGGAACCTGGAAAAACAGAGCGGTGCCGCATATTAGTGTGGTGGAAAGGGGGGGGACGAAGGGGGTGTCGCGACCCGCTGCAGCTTCAACGAAACTCGCGACAAAGAAAGCGACGGCGGGGGGAGGGGGGGGGGGTCTCGGTGCTTCACGGTATCAGTGTCTGCCTGCGCCCCGCGTGCGTCCGACAGTCGCCTCCCACCCCTTAGGCCCCGCGTTCGAATCCCGCCAGCTCTCGTTTTATGCAAGCTCCTCGGCACGGCGGGGCGGCATTCGAGTGCGCGTCGAAAGTGATATCGGATTGGCCGCGGGGCGGGGCGGGCGGGGCGGGGCCGCGTTGCTCGCCCCGAAAGCGCTTTCCGACGAGAGCGGCGGCTTGGGGCCCTGCCCGGCCACGACTTCACTGATACTTTGACATAGTGACGAATGTCCAAAATTTTGATAAAATGAGATTTTTGGCTGCGTTGTAGAACTTTTGATTTACTATCGCCTGGTGAAAAGCATGTATCGATATCTCTTCTAGATTCGGCGCAGGAAAATACTTCGAAATGACGAAAGTCCAGCTGTACTTTGACAAAATGACGAAAGTCCGCCGTACTTTGACAAAATGACGAAAGTCCAACCGCACTTTGACAAAATGACGAATGTCCAACCGTACTTTGACAAAATGACGAATGTCCCAACTGCAAAAAAAACGGATATAGTCTATCGGTGCGTTCCCAACAAGAGGAATATCCATGAAAACAGCGACGGCATGATCATGGAACATGCCCGGGATGAAAACTTTCATTTATTTTGTGTTAACAGTAAAGTTGGACTTTCGCCATTTTGTCGAATTACACATGGACATTCGTCATTTTGTCAAAGTACGGTTGGACTTTCGTCATTTTGTCAAAGTACGGCGGACTTTCGTCCATTTGGCCTAAGTTTCGTACGCTGAGAAATGACGAATGTCCACTATCTCGGGAACCAAGCTGCCGATTGCAACGGCTCTTGAACCCAAAGAACACGTATTCCTTCAGGAGTCTGTGGTATAAAATTTTACAATCAAATCCAATACCTCTATCTTCCAGCTCAATTTTTAAACTTGTTTTGGCTCTCCTGAAAAATCAGATATTGTGGACATTCGTCACTATGTCAAAGTACCAGTGACTTGGGGTAGGCGGCTTGGTGCGCTTGGCGCCGGGGGTCGGAAAGGCTCCCAAGTGGATTAGCGGCTCACACAGCTTGCACTACTTCGCCCGACCCAAGGAGCGCCCCGACGGCAAGCGCGGGCCCTTGGCCCGACCCGGCCTGACCTCCCGCAACCCGATTTGTTTCAAGGGAGGTTACAGCATTATCCGCGCCCTGCTGCTGCTGGCCGCGCCAAGCCAAAGGCAGCCAGCGGCAGCCCCTGCAACAGACTCCGACAAGCACGCGCGGGGACGCGCGGGCACGCACTCGCAGTGGAGGGGCTGGGGCCCCCGGCGCGCTGGGCCCCGCTGGGGGACTTCTTCCCGCTTCTTGCCTGTCAGATACAGGGCCCGGAATTGGCAGTGAAACCCCTGCATATAATCAACGGCCAGGGCCCTCCTGTATTATTCAGTTTCAGGGCCGGGCCGCGCCGCCTCCCGCTCCCCCTCCCCTTCCTCTGTAATCCCGGAGCCCTCATTGCCGGCAAATCAGTGAAACAAGGCGGGTCGTTTGTAGCATCGCCGGTACGGCCACGGCTTGGGCGGCATCGCCCCACACAGCGCAGTGCTCTCGCGCACTGCCACTGGAGATGTTATTGTTTCGCTCGGGGTGACTGTGGCCGGGGCGAGACGGGGACACGTAGACGCCGTTCGAACCCGGCGCTGCGAGAAGGGGAAAGGGGGGTGAAAATGACGCGGCGACCGAATAACGAGCTCGGATTGTCGCGGGACGAACATGTTTGAAGCTGCAGTGGGAGTGAAAGGAACGGGCAGGGCAGGTCAACCACTACAAAATAAATCTACTGACTAAGAGTGATGATGTGAGCTAGAGGGGAGCTTGCCCGGAAACACCGCCACCAACCTCCCGACAAAACGCATGCTGTGGATCAAAGTGTCACTCATGCACAAACTAGAGCTAACTAGAGTTAAAGAAACAGTGTGAAGTGTGAGGTAGAGTTAAAGTGCGGCAACACAAGTGCGGGTTTAGTTTTTAGATGACGTCACCATTTCTGCTCGATGAAGGACGTGACTTGACACGCTAGCAGCAACATAGCTTCCACTATTTTTTTACTGCTAAAAAAATGTGGGTGAATTGGGTGAACATGATTATGTACACAAACTAAAGCCAGAGAGCGAGAAGAAAGTCCTCTCCCGAGTTTAGTTCCACAACAATGCGACAACTGTGTTACAGCCGTAGCGGCAGTAGCGGCGCCCATGCGATGACGGCCATCACATCAGACAGATAGGCACACTCACAGTCGCTCTAGGCTCCGCAGTTCTAGGAACGCCATGCCCGGGATCCTGTCTATCTTGTTGTGGTGGAGGTATCTGCAAGGCAGTGCTATATCATCATCGCGGACAACAAGGTGGTGGAGGTGGTGGTGGCGGTGGTGGATGGTGTTGGTGCACGCATGCACACGCGGCGGGAAGCGGCCAAAACTACGTGCTAAGTCGTGCGCGAGTCATCTGAGGTGGAGCGGGGCACTTCATACTCCTAGTGACACGCCAGGAGTAAGCCCGGAGCGGTTTATGAAGAGATCTTTACAATTTCAGCATACTAGAAAGGACATTGAATGTGCTCCGCCTCACATGCACGCGCCAAGACTCGAGGGGACCCTGGCCGCGTACTCACAATCGCTGTAATGTGGCCATGGCTGAAAACGTTTCAGGCGCGATCTTTTCAAGTTCGTTATAATGGAGATACCTGGAAGCAAAACAGAGTTCAACACACCGCGGAGGGGGCCGTATCATAACTGCTCCGATCTCCGCCACCATGGGGACCTGCGGAACAGCGCTGGCGGAAGGTTTCAGCAGAAGCCCATTTTGTTCTGAGAGCCAGTTTTAAAACCTCTGTTCAAGATCAAACAGCAGTTTTGATGTAGGTGTAGACTCTGTTGTTCGGGTGTAAATAATCAAAGCCCACCTCCGGTCCGCTGCCCAGTAGTCATCAGTCGAAAATTGAGTAAATTTTGCAGAATTGGCAAAGAAACATGATATGACCCTACATTTTAATTTTTGACTTTATGCCAGTTTGGCTTGCCTATCTATGACGACGTGTTATCACTGGGCAGCGATGACGAAAATCAGTTGAACGTGACTGACGCAGTAAAGTAGGCCATGGGAGTCCATTTGTTTCCCCTTTTGGACTGTCTGCTAGACTGTCTGCTAGACGGCGCTGCGGGCGCGTCGATTGGCGTCGCGGCTCCCACGGCCACCAGGACGACGAGGACGAAAGCGAAAACTGTGGCGCCGTCACTCTCAATCAAGGCTCTGCGGCCAATGAGCGCGGGCCTGGGCCTGCCTGGGCCTGCCTGGGCCTGGGCTTCAGCCGAATGAAAGCAGGCATTGTGGCTCTATTAGCGGTCGGACGGAATGCCAGCTTGAATAATGCATCGATTTAATCGACTCTTGTTACTACTTCTCGGTGTTGTCACGTAATAATAAGTTTCAATTAATAGCGATTAATACTCACAGCTGCTCCAGCTTGGGGACGCCCTTGAAAACCTTGCTGTCGATGTCGCGAATGCGATTCTTGTAGAGGAACCTGTGGGACCGAAACGAGTGAACAACAACAGCAAAATGGATGGCACGTAAAATCAAAAGCTGCTTTGAGGGAATGCCCCGAGCTGGACGGGCGACGTGGACATCTCGGCCTGCACTTACATGTACCGCAGCTCGCCCAGGCCGTTGAACATGCCGTTCTGCAGGCGTACCAAGTGGTTGTTGTTGAGCAGCCTGCAACAGAGGAGAGGCCAAAGTTACACAAGCAGCCGGCCTTACGGACAAAGCAGCGGCTGCTCGCTCCGCGCGACGCGCTCAGGCTAAAACACTAAATGAAAAAAGTTTGGCGCGGCGCTCTGAAGGACGGCTGCGCACTACAGCCTTCAACCGCTGCAAACAGCGTCGCGCCGAGCAGAATAATTCACTACTCGCAAACGAATGAGCAATGCCGCTATGCGTGCGAGTGTGTGCGTGTGCTTGCGTGAGAAAGTTTTGTCGCTGACGGTTACTGTTTTTGACTCATCCAATCCCACTGTGCCCTTATTCTAAATCGGTTTCTAGAGACTCCTGCGCACTCGCGTTCCTGTCTGCGCTTCAGGGCTGATGCGGCCAGGTTCTCGTGCTGGAGTACAAGCAACAGCACCGAAAGTAAACCTCTTCAGATCGGGATGCGTTCCTTTTTGACACAGCGGAGTGCTCATGCGACGGAGACGTTGTCAATAATAGATGCGGGCCCGCATTTCCATCGAGCGGAAAGGTCCGTTCCAAGCTGGTGTCACTGTCTCCCTCTCTCTCGGACTTGTGAGGCGTTCTGACGGGGTGCGATAGAGACAAATGGACTGAGGCACTGTTTGGGACGAGACTGCAGGTGAACGACACGAGGGAGCGGCTCTGCAGACGAGGAAGCCGGGAAGCCAGAGCCAACTCGGCACGTCCGCTACGAGTGCATATTTCTCTCGCGTTTCCGGGTGTCAAGCGTGCCGCCGGTTAGCTTGCATGCAGATACCTTATTCATAAATGGAAACGTGCTCAAATAATGGTTACGCATTCCCGGCGCCTCGTCCCAGCGAGGAGGGCCTGCGCGGCTCGGCTCGCCTCCAACTTGCACAAGTGACACTGCGACTAATGGGGGGCATCGCTCGGTCCTTGTCGGCAGCTCGTCGGGCTGTCTGGCAGGTGGTGCTTGTAGGAGGCGCCAGGCTCGGCGAGAGTGCGATGCGCGGCAGGCAGTCAACCCCCACATAGCTCCACTAGCCACCCTCCTCCAGCTAAGCAGCAAGGCAGCGACCCCACCGGCGGAGACGAGCGTCGTCCGGCCGAGTTGAAAAATCTTCCCCCAAACTTTGAGTTTGTTTCTTTGCTAGTTTCCGGCGAGACGCCAGGAGACATCGCGACTGCCGCAGATGCAGCGAAGAGGCGCTAACGCAGACAGTTGGAATAGCCGCTAGAGAGAAGGACTGCGCAAACAGGTTAAATTACTGTCCGCAGAAATGGGGAATGGGGAGCCAAGATGGCGGCCTGCGACGATGGGGCACCCATACTACTGTTACCCATACTGGCGCAAAATGTTCAACTTGTAGGGCTCACCGGGCAAGGCGCCACAAAGCCAGACAAGCTCTGTTGGAGCATCAGTCCCCGCGGACAAGGCCGGACGGACAGGTCAGGGCTTCCATGCAGGTGCAGGCCGCACAATGGTCGACGTGACGTCACAAGCCGCCCCGCCCCGCCCCGTCACCACGCCGTGGCGGTTAGGTCCACGGCCCACAAAAGCATAATAGAGTACACTATTCATTGGATTCAGCCTCCGACAAGAGGCTGGTGGATTGGGGCTCGGGCCGCGCGGCTGGGCGCGGGGCCCCACGTAGGGCTGGGCGGTTTTTCAATATATTGACTTCAATTTCAATATTTTTTATATTGAAATTTCAATATCGGCATATTGAAATGACCAATATCAATATTCGATATTGATATTGGTCTCAATATCTCAATACATGATATTGATCTCAATATTTCAATATCTGATATTGAAGTCAATCCAGCGCTAAACGACTGTTTTTCAACGCAAATGTGGCTTGTTTAGCCTTGTTTGTTTCACCACCGTTCTAGAACTTGCTTGTATTCCATATGAACCCATGAAACCTCATCTTAAAGGGGACCATACTGAAATAACAGGAAAAGTAGCGATATACATCGGCAACTTTGGCCCGTCCCGTAGGTTCATTAAGAAATGTGCGAATGGCGGCCACTGTGTCCAATCTAGTTGCCGTAAAAGGCCTCCCTCAACGTCCTAGTATTCTCAAGACCCTACTCTTTCATGCCCTGTATAGGGAAGACGTTGACCACAACGATTTTGCCTTTGACCGCAACGATTTAGGGACCAAAGTTGGTCAAAAAGTGGCCGAATCTCGGAAATTTGCTGATTTTGCTGACTTTGGGCGGCCACTGTGTCTAATCTAGTTGCCGTAAAAGGCCTCCCTCAACGTCCTAGTATTCTCAAGACCCTACTCTTTCATGCCCTGTATAGGGAAGACGTTGACCACAACGATTTTGCCTTTGACCGCAACGATTTAGGGACCAAAGTTGGTCAAAAAGTGGCCGAATCTCGGAAATTTGCTGATTTTGCTGACTTTGGGCGGCCACTGTGTCTAATCTAGTTGCCGTAAAAGGCCTCCCTCAACGTCCTAGTATTCTCAAGACCCTACTCTTTCATGCCCTGTATAGGGAAGACGTTGACCACAACGATTTTGCCTTTGACCGCAACGATTTAGGGACCAAAGTTGGTCAAAAAGTGGCCGAATCTCGGAAATTTGCTGATTTTGCTGACTTTGGGCGGCCACTGTGTCTAATCTAGTTGCCGTAAAAGGCCTCCCTCAACGTCCTAGTATTCTCAAGACCCTACTCTTTCATGCCCTGTATAGGGAAGACGTTGACCACAACGATTTTGCCTTTGACCGCAACGATTTAGGGACCAAAGTTGGTCAAAAAGTGGCCGAATCTCGGAAATTTGCTGATTTTGCTGACTTTGGGCGGCCACTGTGTCCAATCTAGTTGCCGTAAAAGGCCTCCCTCAACGTCCTAGTATTCTCAAGACCCTACTCTTTCATGCCCTGTATAGGGAAGACGTTGACCACAACGATTTTGCCTTTGACCGCAACGATTTAGGGACCAAAGTTGGTCAAAAAGTGGCCGAATCTCGGAAATTTGCTGATTTTGCTGACTTTGGGCGGCCACTGTGTCTAATCTAGTTGCCGTAAAAGGCCTCCCTCAACGTCCTAGTATTCTCAAGACCCTATTCTTTCATGCCCTGTATAGGGAAGACGTTGACCACAACGATTTTGCCTTTGACCGCAACGATTTTGGGACCAAAGTTGGTCAAAAAGTGGTCGAATCTCGGAAATTTGCTTATTTTGCTGACTTTGGACGGCCACTGTGTCCAATCTAGTTGCCGTAAACGGCCTCCCTCAACGTCCTAGTATTCTCAAGACCCTACTCTTTCATGCCCTGTATAGGGAAGACGTTGACCACAACTTGTGTGGGAGCGGCAGCCTCACAAAGTTGGTCATGAAGGGTAAAAACAATGATGATCGGGGGCCTTTTGCGGTCTTATCTGCCGGGGCCTTTTGGGGGCCAGTCCGAGCCTGGCTGCTCTCAATGTATGATATGGATATATCATCGTTTCCTACCTTTTCTTGTCTTATTCCTTTCATTTTACTCGATCTACTATTTCCGATATTTGCGTTTTTCAATAGTTCAATTTTTCAATATTTCAATTTTTCAATTTTTCAATATTTCAATATCTCAATATTTATATTGACAGTCAATATATTCAATATCAATACCAAATATTGATATTGAGAGAAATTTCAATATTTTAAATATTGGGTATTGATATTGAAATATAAAAACCGCCCAGCCCTAGCCCCACGTACAGAGTACGTGACAGCCCTTGCCGCGTACGGCCTGCGGGCCTCGCCGAGGGCCTCGCGGCCTCGTAGGCTTCATGCCGTATCTGCTGAGGCCCCTCTCAACAACATCGTACATCACCCAGGCAAATTGAACCAAACCGTATCCGTCTTCGCAAGTTTATCTCGAGGGTGGCTGAGTGTATACAGGCTTGCAATGTTGCAGCGAGGCACTTCGCTTGCTTACTCAGCAACACTGTGCTCCACTCCATTTTCGCGCTGGCTAAGTGACGCGAAGTAAGCCGGTCGCTCCCTCCGCGCGACCAGTGACGGGGCGCGCCACCGAGTACGCGACCATCCACAGGGCTGCGACGCGGCGGTGCGGGCGTGGCTCTGAGTTGTACCAAATTAACGCGAGCACGGCGTGGGCCAGCATGCGCCCCGGCACGCCCCGCCACAACCCGCGCGGCCCGGTGCATGAATACCAAACTGGTTTAATGCACCCTCCCGCCCGGCAGTGATCATGGCGTGCCTGAAATGTGACTCTGGGACCGCCGGCACCCGCCCCCTCCACCGCACGGTGTCCTAGGGGACGCAATGCAAAGAGGGGTTGGGCAGGGGGACAGGCGCGCAGCCGAAAGAGCCTGCAAGAGCACACCAGCGGGCAGCGTACTTGGAACTGAAGTGTTATTTTTGTGCATCTTTGCCTCCGGCACAGTTTTAGACGGGGATAAATGGGCACCCCCGGGGCAGACACCAGGGTCGGTCCGGCAGAAAGTTGTCTCCCATTCGCACGTCCGTGCGTCGGAGGATCGGTGCGTCGAAGCAAGTGGACCAACTGGCCACTGCGTTCGTTCGATGCCCGCTTGTTTGGCGTTCGCTCAGGTGGCGCGCGAAACACGCGGCGCGACTGGACCGGATTGGACCACCACCCCAGCCTGTGTCGGCTCTGCTTTTTTCGCCCGCAGTGTAAGAGAGGGGGGATTGCACAGCGCCCGGCAGGGAGTCGGCGTGGCTGGCAGCGGGGCGTGTGCCGAATCACAAGCCAAGGGAGGCAGGGGCGGGCAGGGGGCTCAAGGGGGTTGGGGTTGGGAAGGGAGGAGAGGCGCGGTCGAATTTATCTCACATGGGATGCGCGCTGCCTGCACGGCCGTGTTAGCACACTATCAGTCTGGGTCGGAGAAGGGGAGGGGGAGCAGACAGATATGAGGAAGGACACAGGGGGATTTGTTGCGTCTCGAAACGGCTAATGGCGCCACACGGAGCAACTCCCTGGACGACAACCCGATGAGGATGGGCCGAGGGATGGGTATAGGAGTGTGCATTCGATCGAATCTGTGGCATACGTATAAACTAGTTACCATGTAGGTCTGAGGCACCGACAGAACGCCTCGCAACATGCGTGGCGGCAAAAGCTCCCCTGGGCGTCGGATGGATACGCCACGGAAGCGCTAGCTTGCATCCACAATAAGTCTCTTTTCGGCCAGGGCAATGCAGCGGATATAGAGATTCAAATTGTGCCGGTCCACGCCAGCACCACGCTAGCGCCAACGAGGCACGGCCCGGCCGCGGTGTGGGCTGCTTCCGTACACAGCCTTGTCGCTCTGTCTGCGTTGCACCCTATAGGAACGCTCCGCGGGAGCGAGAGGGACGGGGTAGCGCTGTTGGGAAGCAGCCTGCTGGATCCATACTGATGAGCCGGCCGTATTGGCAGAGGCCGCGCGCCCCGGGCCCTCCATTGTTGTACCTGCACGCGCATATTCCACACACTGCAAATAAGACCGCAATTGTGTGCAGCCCGCCAACCCTGCCAGCCCGGCGGCGGCGGGGCATGCCGGGCGGAGGAGAGATGCTCCGGAGGAGTGCTTGCCAGCGGCTTGCCAGCAGCAAGTCCCGTCAGCCTGTCTCTCTCGCACCGCACTGGGCGGCTTCCTGAGTGCACGGGAAAGAGAGAGACCTGCTTCCACTTTAGCGAAAGCGCCAAAGGGCGCGCGGCTTCATTTCAATGATGCGCACTGGGGCAGGATTTCCTCCCGCGGGGACAAAAAGGAGCGCCGCAAAAGGGCGAGAGCGATAAACGCTGCGTCTTTTAGCACTTGCCTATTTTTGACCCAAAAGAGAGCCCTCCTGCTACTTCGTCAAATAGCATCGTCGTCGTCAAATAATTAACCGAAAACCTAAACAAATAAATAGATCATGCATTCCGAAATATTGAACTAGCTGTGTCGGTCTTCGTCCTCGTCGTCGGCACAAATTTTAACCAGCCCGAACATAACAAGCTGCGCGCACCCGAGATCATTTGCGCGAGGAAAACACACACACATACAAATTACATACTGCCGGCCGTATCCTTGTGGAAAATGGTACAGCATGGTCCCTCGGCGACCAGCATCGGGAAAGGGAGGGGGAGGCTGGCTGCGCTCTCCATCCCATACCGCGGTCTTTCCCTCCGGAAAAGGGAAGTTTAAGGGCGCCCGCCCGCTCCGCACGGCACCGGCCCCTATCGTTCCATCTTTACTCGGCCCCCGGGGTCCCCTGCGAGTGGCGGTGGATGCCCGGACGGCGACCTGACTCAAACTGCAGCGCCGCAGGAGGGCGCACACACCGCAGTAGTGCGCTCCAGTCGTTTTACGTGCCTCGCCGTAAACTCGGCGTCAACCGGTTTTCAATTGTACGATTGGCACTTCGGGGTTGTTTCGCACAAGGCAATTTTGTTCGTCGTTCGATGGAGGGCACTCTGAATGGATCGCAGTCGAGACGGGGTCGGTTTAAAATTATAAGGCAGAACTTGACCAAGTTGAAGGCAATTTCAACGCTATTGCAAAGCAAAGTTTCTAAGCGACTCTCAACTCTTTTCAAAATTCTGAATACAGTGCTGGTACGCAAAAGTCAGTGGTAACGTTAGGGGCGTGGTAGTTCGTACTTACAGTGTGTGTAGATTCTTCAGGTCCTTGAACGTGTTGACGGGAATATCTCGTATTTTGTTGAAGCGCAGGTCCCTGCAACAGAAAAAGAAAATGGTCATAATGAGGTGCAAAAGGAGTGAATCTCGTGCTCTCTCCGCCGGTTGCGTTGGGGGCTGCGGTTGAACAGGTCTGCACCAGCGCGTGGAATTGGGAGGGGTCTGCATGCAGCCGTGTGCCGTATGCATGCATGTGGGGTGGCGTTGCGTGTAGCGCCGCATGGCCAGCCAGCCACCTCCCGGGCCCGGCCATATACGATACATTTACAGAGAAAATAAGCGTTTGAAGATTCGCAGCAATATGTGAACATTTTTTGATGTGTGTCCGCCAGCCGAGGGGGCCGCAGGGATGGTGAACTCCGGCATAGTGCTCCGGTATAGGAGGGGGAGGGGGTAGTAATACCCGCCGACACCGGCAAGGACCCGGCAGGTGTTGGGCGAGGCGGTACGGTGAACCCTATTAGCCAATGCTGCTCGCCAGCCCTGCCAGCCCGTCTCGCCTAGGGGGCCTAGCGGAAAGCAGTCTGGTCCGACACTGCATCTTTCATGCGCTCCTTAAACGCCAGCCAGGCTGAATCGGCCCGTTTGCCCGCCTCAGCTTGACGGGTCCTTCGCCAGCACGAGGCCCTCCAACCCCCCTTCCACTCCCCTTTCCACCGACACTGCCCTGCACAGCCCTGCAAGCCCCAATCGCCGCTCGCTTTCCCGCTGCCGCCGGCCCAGACTACGGAATGGCCGAATGGGCCACCGACTGAGTTTCGGACGCAACGGGGCGAGCCAAGCCCGCCAAGCCCCGCCAAGCCCCGCCAGCCCCAACCCGAAGCCGGGCAGGGCTCTAACTTTGGCCGGGTAACAATCTGATTCGTACCAAATTGGGTGATTTGGTTGGATTAGTTGGCCAAGCAGCCGAACGACGGCCAGCGGCACAAAGGCCGGCCATTGTTGTGTACCCCGGTGGGGTGTCCCCACCCCCACCCCTCTGGCCCGCTCCAGCCCTCCAGGTCGGCGTCGGCGCTCCGCCTGCTGTTCCAGGTCGTTGGAGGCACCGCGCCATCCGGCCGAGCCGCTTCCCGACTCGGCGGCCGTCCCCAGCCCAGCAGTCCCAAGCCACTCGGGGCGCGGCCGGGCCGTCCCACGGCCGTTCCGGGGCCGCCAGCCCCGCCAGCCCCGCCAGCCCCGCCAGCCCCGCCAGCCCCGCCAGCCCCGCCAGCCCCGCCAGCCCCGCCAGCCCCGCCAGCCCCTGCCGTTTCCTCTTCAGGTGAGCAAGGCAGGGATACAACCCTCCTGCCACTGCGGAATGGCGGCCATGCCCGGCATGCCCCACTGCGACCCCGAGACGCGCCGTGGCGCGCGGCCCCAGGTACTCCCTCTCCACCCCGTTCCTCCCGACGACCGCAGGCAGCTCCACCCATTACCACCCGTTACCCCACGCCTAGCATGCGGAGCCAGCCAGGCCAGCCAGGCCAGCCAGGCCAGCCAGGCCAGCCAGGCCAGCCAGGCCAGCCAGGGCAGCCAGGCCAGCCAGGGCAGCCTCACTGCCCCTACCGCCAACTCGGACCGGCCCTGTCCGCAGCACACACCAGCACGCCTCAGGCCAGCCCCAGGCCAGCCCCAGGCCAGCCCCAGGCCAGCCCCCTCCGCCTGGCCCACTGCCCCGCTGTGCTTGCCCGACGGCCGGACACGCAGCCTCCCCAATGTCCGCGGCTCAAAACACTGACACGCCAGTCCTCGCTGCCCGCCCCTCCCCGCTGGGTGCTGATGCCGCCGTTCTGAATCCCCTCCCCTTGGGGGACACACTTGTAATTCTATTGCTGCGTCTCCATGTCTCCATGCCAGGCCGAGCTGGAGACGAATAAAAGCGGGACGTGGTGACGCATGGCAGTCAGCAGACACGCGCCATGCGACGCACACGAACGCACAGGGTCGAACCTCCGCTAGGCTAAAACGCGGTGCTTTGGGTCCCTTCCTTTGGGTCCAGATTGGGGCGGGTGCGCCCCGGGGCCAACAGCGGCCGGATGTTGGAGGACAGCCTCCCCCTCTCTGGCCACCCCGGGCCACCCCGCCACGCAGACCTGCTTTTGACACTGGCCAATTAGGGGGGTTCGCCCGCCACACGATTGGGGACCATGGCATTGGGCGCAAACAAAAATGCGTGTCGTGTCGGCTCGCGTGTCCGCGGGCGGTGTAAGATTGCCCTCGCGAGGCCGCATTAAAACGGCGCCCCGGGGAAAGCACGCCCCTTCCCGTGTACGCCCCCGCCCTGTACGCCCTTACACCCCCCCCCCTTCCCTTCTTCCTCCAGGACGGCCCTCTGCAACTGCCAGCCTTCCCCTCCCCGCACGCAAACATATCGGCCGGGGATTTGCCGACGTGTCGCGTCAGCCATAAGGAATGGGCTGCACACTGATCCCGAGCAGTGCTTGCGTCACTCTGTGGCCGCCAGGACAATGAGACCCCGTAAGCTGAACTGGAATCTGCTTTCAAGCAAAGAATAAAATTACGCCGGACCGAACGTAAACGTCTGCCTCCAGACTGGCGAGCACGGGTTTTCTCAAACGCTGCCACAATATCCTAGGAAGTTTAACTGGTTGAACCGTTTTGTTTTGTTTGTTTTTCTCGTGGAGAAACAAACGGACGAGGGCACAGCTTTGCCGGGAAACGTTACAATAAAGCCGGGCCGAGAATCAAATCTGCAGACGACGACATGACCCGAGACGGCGACATCATCTAAAAGCAGTTACTCAGTAATGTGCTGGCTGTGTAATGGCAGCAACTCAGTTTAGGGAGGAGGGCCAAAGGCGGAGGGCAGAGGGTGGGGACGAGAGGCGGGTGGGCATCCTTGAACAAGTCCCCCTTCCCCCTCATACACACATACCGTGTTTTGTCTGCGACTCGAGCGCGCCGCGCAAAGTTTTTCAACAACGCCATTCGTACTTGCACGCACGCCTCGAATGAATCACGCCCGTGCCATGTCCGTGCCTCGGCGAGAGGGCGCGCGCGCACACACACACACACACACACACACACACACACACACACACACACACACACACACTCAAACGTGCATTCAGGACCAACAAAAGACGTGCGAGCTTCACCTACATTAGAGTTCCATAAACAAACAGGCGGGGTTGTGGGCGTCCATTTGGCGCGCAGGAGCTCTGCGCCGTGCCGATAGACTCCTGGGGGTTTGTTTGCGTGGGCGCAGATCGCAGGGCCGGCGCGTTGCTACATCGAGTCGATGCCAGCCCTGTCGTGTTTGCGTCAGGATGATGACAGTTGTGGAGGACGGGGGACGTCGTGGCATTTGTTGGGATGCGTGATCGGGGACGGGAACTTTACCGCGGTTCTGCGGCTGATTTCGTCCCGGGGACAACGGACGTGCTGCGCGCACGCTGGACCGGAGGGTAGAGTCTGGTAAGAGAGAGACACGTGTCCCACTGCTGGCCGGTTCCCACCGTCTTGGTGGGGCTGCGCTGGGCGACGCTGGGCGGCGCTGGGCGGCGCTGGGCGGCGCTGGGCTGCGCGGCCCAAAGAAAGAGATTGTGGCCGCCGCCGCACCATCCACCGCCTCGTGGGAAGCGCCAGAAGGCACCGCACCCCTCCTTGTTGTCTGAGGAGGGGCGATGGCAACCCGTCCATGAGGTCCAGAGACATTCGGATCGAAATCAAGGCGAGGAAAAGACCGACCCCATCCAGAACCGTGATGGGACGCGACAACACGACCCGCCTCGAAAGCCTCCGCCATTTCTTCGACGTCACTCTGTCTCTCTTGTACCTTCAGCGCAACGCGCCATGAAAACGAGACAGCGTCAGCGTCGAAGCCACGGTTCGGAATCACTCGGCCGAAACGCGACGCGGCAAAAATGGCTCTCGAATCGCGGCATCCGATTTGCACAGCTTAAGGCGGCCTCGTCACGGAATGATGAGGACAGCGTCTGTTCCGCGTCCCGCAGCATCCCCCTTCCTGGCCTGCCTCTCGAAACTTCCCGCTCAGCGGCAGTGACCTACTACCACCAACTCGGCGAGAAAATAGTGCGGACCCAGCAGCACGTCGGGCTTGGCCGGTACAGCGGCGAGGCTCGCAGAGTCATTATCCGACTTTGGGAATGTTCACTCGTCAAACTTATGTCCTTGATCAGTTGAATGGCCCGGGCCGGAGCCCAACCTCGCCCAACCGCGGCGTTATATTGAATCCTAAAATTAGTTCCGAGAGGCACCGGTCCCCCTCCCATTCCTCTTTCCTTTTTCTCTGGCCAACGCCGTGGGCGGACGGAGCGGGACGGAGCGGCGCGCGCAGTGGGGTGGGGCGGCGCTTGTTGAAGGCGCCACAGTAAAGTTCTCCCCCGCAGAAGAGCAGCTGCACTTTGAAATAGCGGCGCCCCTTAATTTTCTCTTTTCATCATCTTTACGACGAGGTGAAGACCATCGCCAGCAGCCCAGCCGGAGGGGCAGCCTGGGGCCAGCCCTCCCAGGAATGCAGGGTGACGTTGATGAGCGGCGACTCGTACATTGTGCTGGCCAGGGGTCCCTGCCCCGGCGGCCCCGGCCCTGCTGGCCCGCAAGGAAGGTGAGTGCCTCCTCGACTCTACGCCAAATAACTGGGAAGGAATAGTACCTCATCGCGCTTCGATGGCAAGCTGAGACGCGGCTGGGTCGCGCCTGCCAACGACGCTGAACTCACCAACACAAACACACACGCACGGTGTGCAGCAGAGCGTATAAAGGATAAAAGAACGTTCTGCGCTGTCCCAGTTCCTTGGCCTGCACAACAACACGGCGCTGGGCAAGTGCCATCAACCTCTCCGCCCCTCGGGCGCGCACACAGACCCACGGCCAGGGCTGCCACATGGCGCCAGGCACCTGCAGCAGCAGGGCTGCTACGTCCCAGAGCACCGCGCCGCTACTTCACCGAGGAGAGACACTACCCCGCTGGGGCGGGCTGAGCTGCCGCAGCTAGGGCCAATCTTTGGGTGCGCAGCCCCGAGCGCTACTCATACCAAAGTGACTGCGGGGCCCAAGAGGGGTTGCCCGAGG